ATGCGGCACCTCAGGTTTGCTAAGTTGCTCTCAAAGTGGCGCTACTGCTGTCCTTGGTGAGCTCAGGCCTCTTCCACCATACTTAAAGCACACCGGGCAAATGCTGCTGCCTCCCAGCCCCCTCCTGAAGCATTCTCTAGAAACTCACTCTTAGTGTTGTTGCTTGTCTTCGTAATGTGCTCTCTCTACTGGCTTGGTTTACAAATGAAGAGTTGTCCTTTTAATTAATTTTCTGGGGAAAAAAGTTAGTTGCATTGGTGGGGGGGCATAACGTTTCTATCCATTCAAATCAGCCACAGACATGCAAAGAAATAAGCTGAATCTCCTATATTGGCCCTTGATGAGCATATAAGCTAACTGCTTCTGTTTTTATGATGTGCCTTTATAGTGCAAGTATACATTGTGTCGTCTTCTGTTGCGTTTGGTGAACAGCTCTTCACAGAGGTATATCGGCTGTCTTTGTTTTAGTGATGTTCATAATTATGGCAGCAGCTATCCCTTGTTTGTAATTACAGCTAGAAGATCTGTCAGATGAAGTATTTTCCTTGCGTCATGCAAAATATGAAGAAAGAGAGCGAGCAAGGTGGTCGCTGTGGGAGCAGAGCCGCTGGCCCAGAAGGAATAGCAGGCAGGTGTACTGACTTCGATAAGAACATTCCTGTTGTTGAAATGCTGGAGTTGTCTGTGTTTGTTAGCACAGCAGTTCCAGAAATGCTGTCACAGAGAACAACTTTGAAAATGAGGGCAGGCCTTGTTAATTAGCTTGCTAGGGACAGTACCAGGTATGGTTGTTTTTGTAGCTGAAAAGGGAAGGCGATGCAGTCCTGAAGCGTGCAGGCATGCCAAATGAGCCACATTTCTGTAAGCATGCTAGTGATTCAGTATTAGCAAATTAAAAAAGTTTTATTCCTGTGCTAACCACATTGTACTGTTAGCTTGTGCCCACTCCCCGTTATTATGACTTTAGCCAGTGAAATGTAATAACGCGAGCCCTTTGTTACTTACCTCGCTTAGCTGAAAGAACCAGTTAGCTTTTCACCTTGCATTTAAAATGCATTTCAGTATTTTAATATCAAGTTCAAATTTGCATTAAAGGCTCCGTCAAAACATTTATTTTATTACAACAGATTCTTACGACTGCTTACGAGAGTTAGAGTACTTACCGTACATGCCAGGGGAGTCCGGCGTGTGCTGCTGGGGCGATCCAGAGTGGAGGTGGGGAAGGGGAGCCCGAGGACCTGCTGTTTCTTCTCGAGTTGCTTAGACACAGTCTCACCCTTGAGAAAAGGCCTGCCAGTGCACTCTGGACTCCGCAGGCACCCATGAGAGATACCCTGTTCCCCTAAGTGGGAACAGCCCACAGCTCACTGACCTCTGCTGCCCAGCATTACAGTTCAGGAGGAGTGTGCGGAGTAAGGCACAGGAGTGGGGCAAGGCACTGGCTGATCTGCAGTCAGCGTGGGACTGCTCCAGCCCTGTTTTATCCAGTTAGATCCTCCACAAACAAAGCACTCTGCTTTGGCTTGGTACAGTGAGGTTATCGAGCACCTTGTGTTTTCACGTGCTCTTCTGTGTTGAACAAGTATACTGTAGGTAGCATGTACATTCAGAGCAACCTTTTGAGAAGGAAAAAACTAAGCTGTTTCCAGCTTAGTGAAAGGGCAGGGAGCAGGTCTTAAGACTCTCTTTGCTTCTGTGCTAGATCTTACAGCAAAAACACTGATGGACGACACAGCCAAGATTCAGTGCAGAAAGACCACCCCGGCAGCTCCTGCGCCTCACTGCATTGCGCTGCTGAACCTGTTCCTGACCTGACTTCTGAAGGCCACAATTCCCTTTGTTCAGGGATCGCACAACTCTGCAGGGAGAGCCAGGAAGCAAAGGTAGGTGCTTTTAGTAGCTTACGGGTTTGGTCAGGTCTTCAGTGACCACTGGATCGTCAACTAAAACAAAGAACTTGAACGTATCCACCTCTCTCCTTGCTCAGAATCTCAGGCTGTCGCCCTAGTTTATGTGGACTGAACATAGCGCTCCTGTTTAGAACTAGATTGATATCCCTTATGAATGAAGGCCAAGATTTGTCAACAGGTAAAACTTTCATTGCTCAGTAAACATGGCACATGTTTTAGAGGCGAGTATGGCAGGCCTGGATTCAGGGATGCTGAATCTTTTCTCAGGGATGCTGGCAGGGGTTCCAGATCGTCTTAATCATTATGGGAGCAGGTGCCCTAGTGCTGTGGCACCACAGAAAAGAGAGCATTTCCCCCCTCCTGTACTGTGCCTGTTCAATTGTAGCTCTGTTATTAGCTTAAAAGTGTGTGAAGCCAGCTTACACAGACAGCTGGTGTCTAGCACTATAGTATTCTTTATCTGAAGAGCCCTGCAAACATTGTAAAGAATGATAGTCACTTGTTATTTGATAGCAGATCATGCTGCACGTAGCTAATCAGTTAAGACTCAACTGAAATCCCCCCCCCTTCTCTTTTTCAAACCCCACTCCTACCCTTCTGATTCCTTTCAGTCTGGGCTGTGGGAACTTCGAGTTTTTCCACTAAAAGATGAAGAGGTAGAAGCTTTACTGTGCCAAGATCAAATAACGAATCAGACTGAAATGTCAAGTGCAGCTTTCCCCAGCGACTCTCTCTGTACTTCATGTACACCCACTGGTTTGCCAGACAATGGCCATCTACCAAAAAAATCTACAGAAGAGCCAGAAGACTGCGAAAATGTTTGCCTGGGACTCAACAATGCAAGAAAACAAAGGTGACAGGGAATAATGGTGGTTCATTAAGAAAGCCAGTTAAGGTGGAGAAAAGTGTAAGGTAAAAAAATCTCTCTTATTCGCACAACGTATCGCAGCACAATTCAAACCCTTTATGTTAGCCGCACATAATATATTTTCTTTCTTGCTTTGTAACAGGCAATCCCAAAGACAACACCACCTTCTTCTTGAACCCCAAGAGAAAGTAATTATTTCAAGCTGGAAGTCTAATATTCCCAGTGGTGGGAGTGGGCGCACATAAATTGCTGGCACCATTCACTGCTTTCTGTTGTCATATTGCCACATTCGTTAATAATCATCCTTTTTTTTTGTTTTGCTTGTTTTCAATGCCTTCTGGTTCTAGTGGATTCTGGTACAGCAGGATATGCTGGCTACCTTAAAAAAACAACTTCAACTGAACACAGAAAAACTACTTGAAAAGATAGAGAGCAAGAGGGGACAATTTCTGATTATTTTCTTGTGTGGCATGAACTTGTGGAAAAAAAAAAAAAATCTGCCTCTCTTTCTTTAAATGCATGGGTGTAACCAAGCCATGCATAAGCTGGGGCTAGGTTAAGACCCATCAGTTTGAAAGCAGGTGTTCTGGAAGCCATGAATCTAGCTTAACGTGTTAACTCAGCTCTCTGTAGTGTCAGGGCGTGTTCCATATAGATGCCCTCAAGCAATAAGATAGAAATAGGCCACCGTATTTCACTAGTTGATATATCTGCTACTCCAGAAGTAGTGTTTCCTGTTCGTCATGTGGCTATAGGGAAACAGAAGGAAAGAGGGGTCAAGTCAAATCAGTGATGCAACGCTTCTTGAATATTGTTTTGGGTCATCTTACTTCCTTAGACCTTCAGTAGCAAATGAGACTCATAACAGTTTGCTTTAATATGTTAAAGCCAGTTAAAGACACAAAGTCTTGTTCAAATTTCTGTGCAGTGCCTTGTTAGAGTCTCCTAAGTATGCCAACATTTGGTGACTAGCTGAGAAGGAAAAGATTATTGATGTCTAGCAAACCAATAAAGAAAAAGCCCCAAAGCTTTCCATTGTGATTCCAGATAGACTTTTAATTTCCCAGCCAGTTCACAGTGAGGAAGCAAAAGCAAGTTGTTTAAACTTGCATCTAAATAGCATAGTTTGGAATGTCTCTGAAATCTCAAGAGATACTAACAAAGATTAAGCATTGAATGTAAGTACAATGAGTCAATGGGAAGTTTTTCTGTGGAGGACAGTTGAAGGCAATTTTATAGGAGTCTCTGTTTTTGTGCAAAATTTTCTTCTACTTGAAATATCTGGAACTGAATGGCACGGGACAGATGAGACAGTTTTAGTGTCAATTTTTTTTTTTTCCCTCTCTCTTTTTTTTTTTTTTTTTGTCAAAATGACAGGAAATATACACTGGACATCTGAAAACAGTTCAGTAAAGTTTCAACACTACAACCTATTGCTACATTGTAGTTTATTGCACATTCTAATTATTTTTTTAAACACTTTTTTTAACACTGGTTTGTCTTAAACTTGAATCTTGCCTCAATGTCTGATACAATAATCTTTGATGCAAGGTTTTTTTTTTTTAATTAAAAGTTATTTCTATATATGGTGTATATAGTCTGAATTTGATGGCCTTTTGAAAGATGTGAAGAAACTGCGGTAATACTTCCTCTTGGCACAGAGACCTGCTTGGCCTGAGAATGGCTTTGCAAACATGCTAAAGGGGCAGTGGCGCTAAGCTTTGCTGTCATACCAACGTTGCATTGGTGCATCCTATGCACCAATAGGTGCATAGTGGGCTGCGAGGCTAAGGTCCGTTCCCCCCTCCGCTCCCACCCCAGCCTCTGAGCACAGGGGTGATTTTTTTCCATTTCTCTCTTCCCGCATGTGTGTCTGCTGCTGGAAAATGGTTTCTGAAAGCTGAATGCCTCAAATGCTTTGCAGGTCTTCCATACCTTTATCCATTCATTAGGAAGTCTGATCCAACCAGCTCTCGCACAGCCTTGTTGTAAGGTCAGGGCTTTCTGCTCTGTCTGATCCCTGGGGCAGTGTGAGACGTTTCTGCAATTTAGAGCTGGGACAAAGTAAACCAGCCAGCTGGATGCCTTAGCTGTTTTTTCCTGAAGGGGTAGTCAGGAAATGGAAACGCAATCCAGTACTTTATAGTAAGAGGAGAGTGTTTCTCTAGATTGGGAAAAAGAAAAAAAAAAAAGTTAAAATGAGGCAAGAAAAAAAAATTGAGAAAGGAGAAGGCTTAACCAAGTTTGGTCAGCATAGTGAAGTGGAAAGCAGTTCCTGCAGTGCTGCTCGGTTCCCAGCTGTGCTAGCCTGTAGAATCAGTGGGTTGCTTGCGGGTCACTCTCCAGCATGCTGGGTTAAAGCAGCTGCTTGTTACCTTGCCAGCTGCAGGGTCACTACAAGTGGTTATTGATCTGAGCAAGGGTAAGCACGTGTGCTTTGTCCCTGCTTCAGATGCTTTTGCTTAGCCAGTGTGGCAAACAGTGCCTCACAACACAGCAATTAAAAAGTTTGGTGAAGAAAGACGGGGCAGCTGGGAGACTGGGGGGGGGGCAACTCTGTAAAATAGACAAATTATGAAAATGTTTATTTGGTCATCCCCCACCCCCTCCACTGTTAGAAATCTTTTCTCTAACATCTGCCTCTCAGCTGGCTAGACCTGCAACAGCAAACTCTGACTGCCTTCACAGAAAGAGCTGCCTGAGCAATTGCCAAACTAGAGACCTCTACGCCAGAGCATTGCTGCTGCCCGAAGCCTCCGCCTAGGAGCTGCTCTCAAAAATGTTACTGGTGTGCAAGTTGCTACGATCAGGTGAGGTGTGGTTTCCTCACGTGTAGGTGAGGAGGGGAAAAGGCTCAGGGGTGACAAAGAACGGGCTGCACTTACCTTTCTCCTGGTAACTGCCTACCTCCCGCAGCCCTTCATCTAGCAGAGGCAGGACATGGGGGACGCTGTGTGCGTGCGTGCTAGGTAATGCAGTCAGTTGAGGTGCTTTCCGGAAAGCCCTTGGCTGTGCTACTCACCCACAGCACAGCTAATGGTGCGCAGCCTTCTTGCGGCAGTCCTTGCTCCAGCCACTGTGAGGTACAGTATTTTTCTGTAGCACCGTTTCACTACTGGGCCAAATTTAGAAAACTTACTTAACAGAACTTGTTCACAGGACCATCTGCTTCCTTTCGTCTTCTTTCCATGTGCTGCACACATCTGCAATTGGTAATGGTACTTTAGTATGCAGCCTGCAGCCCGTCTCTGTTAAGAGCTGGGCTCCCACCTCCAGTCAGTTTGCTGTTGTGCATGAATCTTAGCGTCATGGGAAAGCTGGTAGCAGGACCAGGCTCAGAGCTCAGAGCCAGACTCAGAGGCCATAAAACGTACAAGAAACTCCTGCTTGTTTTTCCTTTTCAAAATTTTAAACAACAAAAAAAAAAGCCTGTTTGTTTGTCTTTTAGTGGCTAAGCTATAATAAAAACAGCTGTTAGTGCTGCTTGTAATGTTGTGGCCAAAGGTATTGCAAAGGCTGGCTGTGACATACCAATTTAAGCATTATGCAGCAAGCCCCCCCCAAGCACACGAAACTTGGGTGCTGCAGCCTTACAGAGAACGCTACTTCCCATGTGCTTGGTTTACCATTTTCAACCAGGAAATTTTTTAAGGCTGCTTACGTTCTGCTCCCTGCTGCTATGAGGGTTTAAACGCTTGCTTCCTCTCTACATGCAGGACCTTAATGAAATTTAAGTACAAATACAGGATTCTAAGGCCTATCAAAGCTAAGCTCTGCGTGTGTCTACTGCAGTCTTTGTCTACTGCTCAGGTACGTGCTGTATACCACCACGTGGAGCACAGTGCATCCAGCTGCAGCCTTACTCATATATGAGTTACTTTTACCCTCTTTTTCCAGGGCAGAGCGTGCCATTGCACTGTCAGACTGCCCTGGGCCTGTGTAGTCCACGTGACTTCACTGACACCGCATCACCGTAGTCTGGTCGCTCCACTGTTGCTGAAACTTTACTTCTAGGACTGTATTTACTTCTAGCTAGTATTTTGACATCTCAGCGCTCTGGGGTTTAGCTTGGTCCTGCGGGTGCTGTGCAAGCAGCTCAATTTGTTGTCATGTTAGTGATCAGCTCAAGTCCTGCAGCTGTGACGTTTCCTCTGTGGGGTTACATTACCTGAAGTAATATATTGACTCTGTTTAAGTCTGTCCTACACTCAGTAATGTATCAAGGCAAGAAACTGGACAATTTTTAAGAGGGAGCAGAACAAATATCATTACTTCCAGGTATGCTTCATCTCTAGGGTCACTAACAGCAGCTTTACCTTCAACCTCAGGTATAACGATAAAAGGGACTCAGCGCTAGTAGACAACTGTTTAGACCCAACTGGATGGGATTCAGAGGGAAGAAGCAAGTGGGTAATTTTCTCCTGTATGTAACTTCTGTTGACTCTTAGATTAGGAGCGTTGTGCGAGACAGACGTGCCAACTACCCGATTTAAAACAATGGCAAAGACGTGAGTAAACCCTTTGAAAGAAAACATACTCTATGGTTCTTTGCTCAGAACAAAGCATAGCACATGCAAGTAACTGGCACTATTTTTTTCCCCCCACATTAATTAAAAAGACAACAGAAATGGCTTGATTAGCCTTTCAAATTAGCTTGAGGTCAACTGCAGGAGGCATGAATACTGCAACTGCTATCCTAACTGCTTTCAGCCTCCAAGTTACGAACTACCTTTTCCATAGCTGTATTTTTGAGTGCTTAGCCTGCATTTTAAATATAAGAGACTAGACTGGTGTTAGACGCACAATACGTTAGACTCTAAGCAGTTTGTTCCAGAACCAAGAATAGCTACTTTAACACAAAGCCCTTTGAACTGTTACCTTTCTTAGCCAAGCTTTTTTTTTTCCCCACATGCATCGTCCGAAAGATGCCTTCAATGGGGTAGGTCCAGATGACTTTGCTTTTGCTAGTTCTCAAATGGAAATAGGAAACAAAGGAAAGGGGAAATAGGAAGCAAAGACATTTGTTCACCTAAACCACAATTAGCCACACAGGAAAAAAAGAAGTAGTTTAGCTGTTTCAGAGCGGCTTCTCTAGATTGTCTGAACTAGTCCTACTCTTTTCTACTTAAAGATGGCTGTGCCCCACGCTGTACTGCAGCTGTCTCCTTCCACAGTACGGAGCACTTTTTGTTTTACCGCAGATGGAGCCTAATAGCTGTCACATAGCCAGTGCTCTGGTCAGCCTGTTAGCACCACCACCACCACCACCCCCCCCACCTCTGCGCAGTGCCTGGGCCTGGGTAGGAGGGGGTTGCATCCACTCCAGTACTGCCTCAGCATTTGGTGGGTGCCATACGCTGCTTTGCTGTAGCAACAACAGGTCTGTTTTGGGCCTTACTGAAATGGACTGGAAACCGATTGTTTAGCTTTCTGGCCTGTTGCCACCGAGCAGCAGATCATTTGCAACCCTTCTATAATTACAACTTACACAAAAAAAAAAGATACCAAGCAGAATACTACAAAATATTAAAGGAGCCAGCAATACTAACTAGGGCCACAGGAAGCAGGTCTAAAATAACCTACTGAGGTCATCTTCTGGTAGGTTTTAAATCTTCCCCTTGAACTTGCCTGAATAGGACATGCTAGAAAGTTATGGCAAACAAATGGAAGTTACGAGAACCTAAAATAAAACAGCTTTACAGTTGAAAAACCATCTCCACGCAGGGACATAATGTATTTCAACCTGCACACACTGAAATCACTTGAGTAGGCAGCATTGCACTCTGCCACTCTCTGGAGCACTTAGTCCGTGATCAAATACTGAGTAAAGAGGCTGTGGGCTAAGATCAAGCATGGCAACTCTCTGTAGGTTTTCAAAGCAACGTTCTTCTGTGGAATCCCATCGCTTCCAGGATTTCCGTCAGAGCTGTCTCAGCTAGTTAGTTGTAGAGTAAATGAGAAATTACTACCCAGTCTGTGACCTGGTTGAAGGTATTTAAGTTGAGCTGTGAGACTTAAGAGTAGGTCAAGTACTAAAGAGCCTATGGTCTATGCAGTAAAAACAAAACAAATATTTCGGTCATACATGGGGCTTTTTAGTCCTATCGAGCTGCACTTCTCCTAAACCCACTACCAAAACCACGCATTTTGACAGTGAGTTAGAAGCGACTTACCACACCAAGAGAAGTGTTTAATTCAACCATTGGAAAAGTTTGGTAGGAATGCACAGATCAAATGACAAAACACAGACAGCAGAAGGCAGGTTCATTAGAGTCTTCCACAAGAGCACGTGTTGTGATGCCACACTCATCTAGCAAGCGAAAACTGACTGAATTTTAGTTCGCTCCAGTCAGCGTTACACGTTGTACTGCAAAATTAGCCTCCACAGAATCAAGAGACAGGTTCAAACCATTGCATTTCCAACCCTGAAAAACAGCCAGAATGTTTTTCACTGCTGCTTGCTTCATTGCGGCAAAGGAATGATTCTTCTGTTCAGCAGCAGCAAGTTTCCATAATTAACGTTCATCCAGCCCTCCCTTACGCATGAGAAACAAGGGTTCTCCTGCACGCACAGAGCCTTCTTGAACACTGCTCGAGTAGGTCTCATCGATCCAGACACCGCTTCTGAGCAGCTTCTGAACACACATTCCTTAGAAGATTGATCACAGATCTTGGATCTGCACTCTTCATAATAGCACTGCCAGATACAATCATATTTGCACCTGCCTGGAAGACATTAAACAACCCACTCAGTAACAGGGACCAGATCTGTTTCTGAAGTTTCTTGCTGTAAAGGGAAGTTGTGAACTCCAGACTGGAGAGCAAACTAGCACAGCTTTCAGGATGTAGGTATCACGCCTCTAACTAACTACATCAGCCAATCAATTTTGGAAAAGGCTAATCTTCCCCAAACAGGCTTTCTTGAATTACTTCATTGTTGCTCCCGTTTAATGCATGAATTAGAACCCGGGCCTACAAGAAACAAGCAACTTCTCTAGCTTAGGGGAGGGTTCAGTAGCCACTGTTTTAAAAAAAAAAAAAAAAAAAAAAAAAAAAGGGGGGGGGGGGTCACAAGACTTTACCTGAAGTGGCTTTTGATAATAAATCTGCTTTACTGCTCCCACTAAAAACAAGCTGCAAGACCTCTTACTTTCTGAGAGAAGACTGAGTGAGTCTTCCAACACACTGTTTGAGACTGCTGTTCTGTTTCAGCCTCTTACCTCTGCACATTTATGGATGGTGTCAGGCCCCACTCCACCATCCACTTCGATATCAAGTGAGGGAAACTGCGTCCTCAGCCACTGAACCTACAAAACAGTACAATAAGCTTAGCGTTAAGATCTTGTACTGAGTTGCTACAGCAACATGTAGCGTCTTCCATCGAGGTGAGGTTTTCTTTTCTCCTTCTCCCCCCACTTCACCACTACACTGCATACCGTTCCTTAGCTTTAAGTTCAATAAACAAGAACAGGGAACCTGAGTTTACCTTTGGCATCATATCTTCCATAAATTTCTGCCCTCCAAACCCAGGTTCTACGGTCATCACCAAAGCCATATCTATCTGATTGGCCCAGGGTGCCAAGTGTTCAACTGTAGTTCCAGGTTTGATAGCCAGTCCAACCTACAGAAGGGGAAAGACAAATCCAAGCGTACCTTCAGGATAACACAAACAGAGCTAGACTGGCTTCAACTGGCTGCAAACTGCTAAGAACTGAACTGGGAAATTGTAGGTGCAACTGCAGTAAGGCCAGACTGCTTTAAAGAAAGAAGGTTTTTGTTTGTTTGTTTGTTTTTTTAACTGTAAGTAAAGACTGTGGGCAAAGAGCGTTGGGGCTGCAGGTGCCAATCTGTAAACCGCAGGAACTGCAACAATTCTTTTTTTCGTTTGCAGAAACGGGGCAGTTAGTTAGTTAGTTAAGGTAAATGCAGCATGCTACTCCATCCCCACACTCCCCTCACCTTCATCCCATTCTCCCGAATGTCTTTTATCAACGCGCCTGGATTGTCTGTAGCTTCTAGATGAAAGGTGTACTGGTTTGCGCCTGCGACCGCCATCGGTTTCACCCACTGCTCCGGCCTGGCCACCATCATATGCATATCAGTTAGTTAGTTAGTTAAGGTAAATGCAGCATGCTACTCCATCCCCACACTCCCCTCACCTTCATCCCATTCTCCCGAATGTCTTTTATCAACGCGCCTGGATTGTCTGTAGCTTCTAGATGAAAGGTGTACTGGTTTGCGCCTGCGACCGCCATCGGTTTCACCCACTGCTCCGGCCTGGCCACCATCATATGCATATCTGGAAGAAGGGAGCGGAGCAGAAGATAGCGAGCAAGCGAGGTAACGCTGGGGAGCTGCAGCACAAACCTGCAGCAAGTCTCTACGCGCGATGCCCCACCACCTCCCCTACGGCTGGTGCCGGCCAGGCGGCGAG